TTAGTGATCATTTCATCAGATTGCCCATACTCTTTAAATACACTACGTGTTATATTGTGACACTGTTTAATTTCATTTTCTGTTTGATGAAGTGTACGAATTAAAACAGTTGAATTAGTATCAATATCGTTGCTCTGCATCGTGTTAATTTTTATGTTCTTTCGATAAAAAAATAAGTTTTATAACGGAGAAGGTGTAATTTACCACATTTTTTGTTTTTATCTTCCTTTTCTTCACAAAGTTCACCTTTGACCGATGTTAAAGTGTAGAAAGCAAAAATCATTGCCATACTATGCAGCTCGTGTAACTTTTTCTTTCTTTTTACAAGCAAACAAAACCCACATGATAAATCATATTCTTCTTCGTTTGCATAATCATATACCTATCATATTCAAATTTTCGTTTGTCTTGAAGTTGATTAACTAAATAATAAGTTTTATAAGAGATTATGAAAATGTTTTGAAAACTAATAAGAGGTTTAAGTAGAATTACTGCAATTTATAGAGGACGTAAGGTACTGAGCATAGTGTACGAATGCAGGCAAAACCTAAAGAAGTACTTAAAGTCCAACAGAGAGTTCAATATATCACTCAAGCTGAAACTGGACGATATGATGATGCCGTAACACATGCGAGGATTATGACGAACGGAAAACAAGACCAAAGAAGTATATCATTAAAAGTGAGAAGAACGTTTCAACAAGATTTATTACAATTTATATGATCATCTAATAGATATTTCTTATAAAAAACATTCTTAGCAGATCCAGGACTTTTGAGTGACATTAAACATTTTCGTCAGGTTTTATAAAAATTGAATAAAAAAGTGCGAGTAATACATAATTTCTTATTTTAATTTAGCGGACTCCATAAATTATAGCATAGCAGAATAAAATTGAATAGATCTATATAGAGTGAATTCTATACTTGAACGAACTTGTGGCTATTATAATATTTCTCAAGATTGAGGGTGGGTGTGAGCGTGGGTGAGGGTGTGGGTGTGAGGGTGGGACAAGCTACCAGGACATGTGTTTTGATCTTGCTTAGAGATTTTTTCAAATGACTGAATAGAATCTGACTTTTGAAGAAATCCAAATTCATTTTATTTACATTATTAGTAAATTAATAGTAATATTAGAACACAGCTACCATAATCTTAAGATTTCACTGAAAATACTCAAGATCATTAGATGGCAAGAATTCTAAATGATTAAAATCACAAGAATTAATTATATCTGTTGTATCTTGAGGGTGAGGGTGTTGCTTCTTTGTTTTGGTCCCTGTTTTTCTCTTTTCCTATAATTACATGATGATGTTATAGATGGAATATCAGATAAGCTGGTAAGAAAATAAAATTTCTAAAAAACTATAAGCATCAAGCAATATCTAAGTACATTTTAGTTGTGTTATTCCAGTGTGTTGATATGTTTTTTTCATGAATAGTAAGTTTGACCGATTTTTATTTGGATAAGGATTAGTGTGAAGGTGACAAAAGAGAAAATAATTCACCCTCACTCACACTCTACTTTTATAGAGAAAGAAAGTTCAATATGTACTGAAATTATGACCGCATCCTGAACAAAATCTCGCATTTAAATCGTCTCGTGATTTGTTACAACTTGAACAATATCTTGGAGGTTGATTGAAAGAAACCGGAGGACCATAACAAGTCTTTGGAGGTAGAAGATTACCATCAAAGTCTCGATCTGAAGAAGGTATTGTTGAAAAGCGCACTATAGTATTGTTTTCTTTCTGATATGAACTACCAATTTGAATTATCAACTAAAATAAAAAATAATATAGTATTCGATATTTTCATGAGGTTTTTACCACGTTATACAAAAGTATCTTCGTACAACGTGAAAATTGCAGTGTTTATAGAGCTCGATTAGCTTATCATTAACTTCTACTTAGATTTGAGGATATCTTACGGCTTCGAAGACATTCAAAGGCTACAATAATCCATCAATGGATGAGCCATATTTTTCAATAGCATGATTGCTTATTGATCGAACTTGTCACAAAATGAGCGCTGTCACGAGTTGTACAAGCCCTCAAATTTGCATGATTCCAACATGGGCCTTCCCAAAAATATGAAGTTAAAAACATTGAAGTATTGATCCCAATTTTCATGATGTGACAGATCCGATCAATAAGCAATTATACTATTGAAAAATATGGCTCATTCATTGATTGATTATTGTAGCCTTCGAATGTCCTCGAAGCCGTAAGATATCCTCAAATCTAAGTAGAGTTTAATGATAAGCTAATCGAGCTCTATCAACACTACAATTTCCACGCTGTGAGGAGATACTTTTGTATAACGTGGTAGAAACCCTATGGAAACACCCTATTCTATAACCTTATCTTAAAAACAAAAAAATTTACATTATGAGTTGATCCCAAGCTATAGGTATCACCAAACCAAGCTCTTGAAAAATCGTATTTCCAATTACATGGTATTGATCTTGATGAATACTTTGCTGATTCCTCTTCAATTGCTTGACGCATTTGTATTACACGTTTTTTAAAAACATAAAAAGATCCAATAAAAATACATACGAATTCAGTTAAACTTGCAACAATTCCAATGATAAGTAAAGCAAAATATCTTCCCGAATTTTCTTCTTTAGTACGCATAAGAGCAAAACATAACGGTGCAATCATTATAGTCACAACAAAAAAAATGCAACATCTGATAAAATATTTATTAGATGAAGAAAATGATCTGTTAATATTCGCAATGGATTGTTGAAATTCATCAGGACGAATAATTCCATTTAAATATATTGGATATGTTGAATCGAATTCACCGTTTAAACAATTAGCTATATAAATCAAGAGAAAATTAAACTCAAAGCAAGAGAGAGAAAACGTACTTGTAACCATTGGTATATAAACAACGTTTGAAGTAACTGGTACATCAGTCATTTTTTATTAGTAAAGTAAAAATGTCTGTCTTTAGATATTTTTTGTGTGAAATAAAAAAACTCGATTCGACTATTTAATATGCAATAAAAAAGATAAGAGATATTTTTTTATCTTTCTCTTGATTCATGATGCAGAGATCTGATACTGTTAGATGTCTTTGTAAATATACATCACCTAAAATGCAATATCATATTGATGCATATTAAAGTTAATAAAATAATGACTAACATAAATAGAATAGTAAGGATTGAATCGATGGTGATGATGAGACAAGCTGCCATGACCGGTTTCGACCCTGCAGGGTGTCTAGTAAGTCATCAAACAGACACCAAAAACTGAACATTTTCTCTATACTTCAACCAAATGAGCTGATTTTGTTTTTGAAAATAGAAGACACTTGTAGATATTTATTCGTACATAAACAACTTATTCTTTCTTATATTTTCTAACCTTTTCATTCCTTCTAAGACAAAAAAAAGGAAATGCTTCTTTCAAATAAAATAAAATATTCTTTACATCGATAAAACATGCATACATTAAGAAATGTGTGCTTCTTTTAATGTTGGGGGTGTGGGTGTAGGATGAAGAAACGATACCAACACCCACACCCGCATAAGCAAAAATGTGGAAAGTATAGTCATCTTTCATTCACACCGACATCTATCAATTCGAATGAGAAATGTTCATCATGATTGGTACATCGTCGCTGCCGGATGGATTGCAAGAAATATTCATTTTCATAGTTTGGCTTTTGCATATATTGAATTTAGATTTGAGGTCATGTATCTTTTTCATGTCTCTTAGAAAAATATATCGTATTGCGATGAAGAATTCTATTTTTTATATATTTGATACAAAAATACTTATTGCGCATAGAGAAATAAAGAACGTGATTAAAAGTCAGTCTTGACAAAGCAAATTATTTGGCAGGTTCAAACAAAAAAAGATATCGAACTAATCATGATTTATTTATTGACGTCAGTCATTTATTGACGATGATTTTTAATATCGTATTTTTATTAAAAACATGTCTGATGATTGACATCGATATTAATCAATTCTTTTTTCTCTTCAGCATGTTCTTCTTCACTAAAATCATAGATTTTTCTATACAATTAAAAAAAAAGAAAAGAATCATTTCGAATTTAAATGTTATTCTGTGCTTTCGTAAACAATGAAATTCAATGGAAAATATCAAATTAAATAATCAATTTTGTTCATTAATCAAATCTGAAATCAATGCTTTGTTTTGTCCAAGACGAAACTTTCTCTAGAACATTATTTGTTTCTCTTTTTGTGATTTTGAAAGAAACAAATGAGAGAAAAAGTGAGAGATATATAACTAAGGGAAAAATCTGTAGTGAATGTCATTTTGTTTTCATCGAGGACAAAGAAGAAGAAGAAGATTATTTTATTGGTCAAGTAATTTATCAAAGAACAAATCTTGTTGAATCATGTGGGATATCTATGTATTTCTCATTATTTTTCTGTTCATTTTCAACAATGAAACATCAGGTAAATACTTTTATTTGACACATACTAAAGATTAGCTATCGCACAAATGATATTATTCATTTGAGTTTTAGTTGAATAAAAGGGGGTCAAATAATAGATTATAGAATTTGACTGGAATTTCTATTATATATCCAAAAGTGATGGTATCGATCTCTTGCAGCGGCTATGCGAGACCATTTTGTGGTTTGAAGAATGAGTGTACTGTAAGTTTAAAAGTATAAGTTGGAATACTGACTGATAATATTATAGATATCTAAATTTGTATCGATTGATAATTTCAAAACGATTGAAATTTTGAACATTATTGAAATCTTCTCTCAATATCAAATTTATTTGTAGATCTTGAGACATGAATGAGACACAAGAGAAAGGAAACAAATCTATTTCATCGTGTTGCATTATAATATATAGAAAAAAAGGATTACTTGACTTTTACAGATGCAATCAAAATGAAAAAAAGAAAAAATGAGTAGGTTAGTGTAAATATACACAAAATTTTGTGAAATTTTTTGACTAATTTGGTTTGAAGTAAGATGTGGATCGATTTATTTCATACAGATCATCATGTCCATTATAGAAAAAATACTATGATTGGTAAAATAATTCTATTGTATTTGATGTGCTCAAAGAGTTTTATGTATAAAGATAGAAGTGCGGCATAAAGTCAGTTGATCAGTCACTTCTATTTATATATTATTCACTTTTGTAGAAAATGAAAAGGATTTAAAACTTTTGAACTGCACAAAAGAATAGAATCTCTTCTTAGAGCATATGAGATTATCTTGTAGAAATGAGTTTGATTGATACATGAAATGATAAATATTCTTCATCGACACTTTCAAGACAGAATTACTTGGGAGAAATTATTAACTTTTAAGCTGTAGAAAAGAATAGATCTGCTAGAAAGAAAGAAAGAAAGAAAGAGTACAAATCATATAATAATGTGGAACTGCTTTGCGATTGCCAATTCATGACTGACACTACCCTTTGTATCCCTAGACTATCATAAAAGAATATTGTTCATAAGTAAAACAAGATTTGAATCAAAAGTCAAACACATAGAAGTGTTTCTCATGTTTAAAAGTAATCAATGATTATTGAAATTTTTTTCTCATAATAGTTAAGTTGAAATAATGAGGAACGAAAAAAAAGAACAGAAGAAGTTTGATTAAATTTAATTATTATTTCACAAAAAAGTTAAAGGAAATTGGTTTTGTCCAATATAAGTTTCATTCAGATCGATTTCAAATTTGCTTTGTTTGATTTAATAAGAATTTCAAAAGAAATAAAAATATTTTATTGATAAAGAAAAAAAACGAATGTTTTTATGAATAATTTCTTCGAATGGCTATTCAATTAAAGATTAGTAAGAGAATTTTCTTCTCTCATTCATATGTTAGATTCAATTAAAATGATTTAACATCAATAAATTCACAATATTTTTTATATGAAAATGAGAATTGATTTCGAATTTTAAAGACATTTTGTTTAAATTTCAATCACAATTTCAATAAATTCATTTTTATTCTAAACAGTTTTTTCCTCCTTCGAATTCATTTTTGTTGAACATATAAAAAAACATAATTTGATTATTTTTTGATGTTTTTCAATGACAACCAAATCTTTTCAAGGATCGAACATAATTATTTTTCTTTTACAACAAAACAAATTAATAAATAGAGTAGATCTTCTCTGTTGAATTCATCCATCTCTTAGTTGATATTTACAAATCATCCGAGAAAATACACAAGCAATCATAGAAATCTTTTCAAAATTAATTTCAATGAATTTTTCCATGGAAAAACACAAATGAACAATTTTATATTGTTTACAGCTCGTCTTTAATATTTATATTTTTCTCGTTTTCAGCTCTTTCATTCAATCAACCAAATTTTTCTTCAACAGCCACTTGGAATTTAAATGGAATTACTTTTGCTAATCGATCGATTGTTGGTGGATATCTTATAAATATTTTTGTGAGCACAAACAATACAATCTATAGCACTAATCAAGAAAAGAACACAATTCTAATATGGCATGAAGAGAGTGTCAGTCCAACAAAGATCATTCGCGGTGATTTTAGAGATGCCCATTCTCTCTTTGTGACATCGAATGGTGATATTTATATTGATGGTGGCGAGGAGACTGGTCGAGTACAGAAATGGATAGCAGAAACAAATATCTTTGTCACGGTGATGAATTTCAACTCAGTATGTTATAGTTTGTTTATCGATATCAATGATACTCTCTATTGTTCAATGTATGATCATCATCAAGTAGTGAAAAGATCATTAAATGATTCTTTGGTGACTTCAAATCGTATTGCTGCTGGAGCAGGTAAGGACGGACCAGCCTCGAATCAACTCCACGGTCCTCGTGGGATCTTTGTCGATGTCAATTTGGATTTATATGTCGCAGATTCTCTAAATGATCGAGTTCAGCTATTTCAGTCAGGGGAATCAAATGGCATCACAGTAGCTGGAAGTGGATCACAAAAACCAACTATTATACTTATCTGTCCGATTGCGATTATATTAGATGCTGAGAAATATTCATTTATTGTGGACAATAACAATCATCGAATTGTTGGTTCAGGCTTGAATGGTTTTCGATGTTTATTTGGATGTTATGGAGAAGGTTCACAATCCAATCAATTGAATTATCCAGCTGGTTTGAGTTTTGATCGTTCCGGAAACATATTTGTTCCTGATACATTTAATCATCGAATTCAAAAATTTTTATTGATGAAAGAGTCTTTTGGTAAGTTGAAGAAAAGTTGAATGAAATGAAGGGATGTGAATAGATAAGTAACAGAAGTTAATTAAAACATTTCTATTTTTCTTTTCCTTTCCATTTAGTATTGATACGACGTGTATTGCCATTATTTTTTATTTGTTAATGAAATTTACTAAGATAAATCGAGTTATATCCCCAATAATATAAACAACTGAGATGACATAGGAACATTTATCGTTTCTCATTAATTTCTTTTCTAAATTAACTTTGAATGTTTATCAGAAAAAAGTACGAGAAACTTTGAATAAATGTTTGAGAATTGAAATTTGTGTTTGAATAAATATTTCGAAAAAAAGATCTATAACGACATATCTGTAGAATTATTCAAAAACAAAATAACTTGATAATTAAAATTCATTTGAGAAAGGCGAGTGAAACGTTCAAAATTGCAGAGAAAGAAATTCGATTGATAAAAATCACTTCTTTTTTGTTTATTATTTTCCTTAAATAAATAGTTTCTTTTATTCAACTATTTTCTTTGATACAATTTATTCAGATCTTTCAGAGGCTTTTTAAAGAAAAACTAATAAGAGAATTTTTTATCTAAAATGATCAACATTGATGTATTAAATAGAATATTTTACCAATATCACAATTCATATTTCATGTCAAAATTAATAAAAATCATTCGTAAAATCAACGTTAACAAATATTCTTAAATATCTTTTTCATCAAAATTTTCTTTGAAGAAACTTTATTTTTCTTCTATGAATATATAGCGGCGTGTCGAAGCGTGACGAAATCACGTTTTCTCATGTCTGTTTCTCCACTATAAACAATTACTCTAGACCAGTTTCGCACACATATATGTTCGCTATATCACTGTGAGACTTATACTAAGAATTCGGACTATGTATGTCATGAGCCTCAGGAGATAAATATATTTTTCTGTAGGAAACTCGCTGGCAGAAGTACGATTTTACGTGGACAAGCCGATAGATTAATAATTTCATTTTGTTTACGGTTCTTTACTATTTTTTCTATTTTTCTAGTCTCAAATCTTTCATTCAATCAACCAAAGTTTTGTCTAAAACCCATTCGGAATTCCAATGGAATCATCTTTGCTGATCAATCAATTGTTGGTTCGAATCCTATCGCCATTTTTGTAAACATAAATAACACAATCTATGTCGCTAATCGAGATGAGAATACAATTCTAATATGGCATGAAGAGAGTGTCAATCCAACAAAGATCATTTCTGATAATTTTACTCAACCCTCTTCTCTCTTCGTGACATCGAATGGTGATATTTATATTGATGATGGCGAGGAGAATGGTCGAGTGCAGAAATGGATAGCAGAAACAAATATCTTTGTCACGGTGATGAATGTCAACTCATCATGTTATGGTTTGTTTATCGATATCAATGATACTCTCTATTGTTCAATGTATGATCATCATCAAGTAGTGAAAAGATCATTAAATGATGCTGTGATGACTTCAAATCGTGTTGCTGCTGGAACAGGTATTAAAGGATCAGACTCGAATCAACTCCACGGTCCTCGTGGGATCTTTGTCGATGCCAATTTGGGTTTATATGTGACAGATTGTTACAATAACCGTGTTCAGTTGTTCCAACCGGGAGAATCAAATGGTATCACAATAGCTGGAAGTACACCAAAAATTAGACTTGATTGTCCAAGTGGGATTATATTAGATGCTGAGAAACATTTATTCATTGTAGATCAGAATAATCATCGAATTGTTGGTTCAGACTTAAATGGTCTTCAATGTTTATTTGGATGTTATGGAGTGGGTTCGCAATGTAATCAATTATATTATCCATCTGGTTTGAGTTTTGATCGTTCCGGAAACATGTTTGTTACTGATACATCAAATCATCGAGTTCAAAAATTTAAATATTTAAAAAGACACTGTGGTAAGTTGAAGTATAATCTAATGAGATGATGAGATGTGATTGTTGATAATAAGAAACTGTATAGTTTTCGTTAGAAGAAACTGAGGTTTAAAGCAACACAAAATACTGTATATGAAACGTTTTCGATCAAAAACAATAAAATTGTATAAATGAAATAATTGATTAACCTAAGAATTTCAATGTAAATTAAGTAAATTTATTTAAGATAAGAAATTTCAATTGACTATAGATCTTTTTGTTTTGAACAAATTTACTTTCAAGATGTGAAGATAACTATCAGATCAAAAAAATTATGAGAGATTTTGATTGTTATTCAAAGAATAAAACAGAATTTCTTAGATGTTACGTAGAAAGTATCTGATCAGCGTAAACAATATTATACTTTATTTGATTGATTGATTGCGAAGAAATCCTCAGTTTGTTAGATTCTCTTCGCACTGTTCTACCTACATAATTTTTTCTTTTCTCAAAATGTCGAAAAATAAATAATATTACAGAATAAATTTAAATCATTGCAAATGCTTTGTAATTAAGAAATAGTTTTTTTTATCCTTCTAAGCACAAATTATCAGTTCAACAGTTTAGAGACGTGCATTTAAAGTGAACAAAATTTCTATTCAAAAAGACTTGCATCTTTATGTAATTACAATAAACTTTAAATGGTTTTACTGTTCATTTAGTCAATACTTTCTCTGTTTTCCAAACGAACTATTCATCATCATTGACATACAACAATCAAATGTACTACCGAGATTGTCAGAAAAATATTTTTTATTATGAATCTATTCAAGTGACGGTGAATAAAAGTGGTTACTACAATTTCCGTGGTATTGGTGCTATTGATCCGTATGGATCTATTTACAACAACAAATTTAATCCACTCGATCCATCAGAGAATTTGCTCGATAAAGATTATGCCCATTACTCTGATATGCAGTTTAAACTTGATATTCATCTTGATGTTGACATAATCTATGTATTGGTTATGACAACATTTGAGTCAAAAGACACTGGAGACTTTTCGATCAATGTGTCGGGTGAAAATGAAGTTATATTCAATCGTCTTAGTAAGTATATAGATATTCGTGTTATATATTAAATAACTCGCACATAATATATAATATATCTTCTAAACTCAATTCCATCTTTTATTCTATACTTAGAGAATATACTGAACTCATGCTATTTGATATTAAGACATTTTCTAGCAGGATATATACTCTTGTGTTTTTCCACCACTACTATAGTAGATGGATACTGTTCAGTTTCCACAAATACTAAATGAAAATATTCTAAAAAGAATAGTTTGTGAGATGTTTGGAAATATTTGACAGTCAGATGCTGAGAAACCAAAAGTGTCTTGGTGTATCTCCGTACCTTTAGATTCCTATGGAACACTGGTTTCAGAATACTCACTTGGGGCATGTGAATTTGGTACCTTTACTAATCTCTATTTGTAAAATTGAATCTTCATAGAAAATCTCAAATATTTCGCTTTTGCCGATGTTACATAATAGTTTCATGAACTGTTTCTGTTTTTTTTATTAGTCAATAAAAATGTTTTGAATGAAATGAGGAAGACAGAAATTTGTAATAGTACTATAATTTCATGAATTATTTGACTTTTGTTTTGAACAGGTACTCCAGTGAACATTCAGTTAAAATATCCATCAAAATTAACTGATAATAGTCCAACATATTATCGAGATTGTCAAGTACCACAATGTCATTATGAAACATTACAAATTCATGTCAATACAACGGGTTTGTATGTTCTTTGGAGTGAAAGTAATATTAATACATATGGATATATCTACAAAAATGATTTCAATCCTCTAAAACCATCTGAAAATTTACTCCTATCATATGGCGGTAGATGTAATGATGGACAATTCAAATTAATCATCGATCTCGAGATCAACACTCGATACATATTAGTTGTGACAACACACGAGCCTAAGATAATTGGCAACTTTTCTGTTTTTATCTCTGGACCAAATAATGTCAGCCTTAGTCCTTTAAGTAAGTTTTTATATAATTTTTTCAATAACAAATATATAACGGCATAAAATATGTGAAAAGAAGATTTCTTATATTTTTTTGATTTGTAAGCAATTGTTATTTCAGGTTTTGAAGAAAGATCTATTGAATTATTGAATTAAATAGTTTTCAGAATCTCTGGGTTTACTGATCTGTTAGAAAAGACACTTGATTACCATGAATTCTAGACATTTTCTATTTCTCAAAATCAGTAGGGAAAGATGCAGATGTTTCATTCCATTGAAAAATCTTTTCATTTGAGAAACGAGTAAATTGTCAGAACTGAATGTTTTGATTTTTTTTTCTTTTGAAAATGTATCCAATATTTTAGATCCAAAACAAAGTAGTTGTGTGATCGGTGATCAATGTAACTTTTACATCAAAGGGATTGGTTTAACACTCGATGATATTTTACGTGATGAACTTCAGCCAAACACAATGTTAAATAATCAATCATTTTCGATTAAATTAAGTGCGGGTTTAACAATAATTATGTTCATCGCAGGATTAATCAATAGTGTTCTCTCTTTTATTACATTTCAACATAAAGATTCACAACAAGTTGGATGTGGAATGTATCTATTAGCATCATCGATTACTTCTCTTTTAGCAATTAGTATATTCATAATTAAATTCTGGTTTGTTGTTCTTACTCATATCAATGTGTCCACTAGTCTCTCTGTTCTTCGTGGAAGTTGTGTATCTATTGAACCGATCCTAAAACTTTTTCTCTACTTGGATGGTTGGCTTAATGTTTGTGTAGCAGTTGAACGAGCAGTACTTATTTTTAAAGGAGTAAAATTTGATAAAAAAAAGAGCAAATTTATTGCTCGACGAACAATTCTTATTTTACCATTCTGTATTTTTGGTACTCTTATTCACGAGCTCGCATTTCGCAGATTGTTCGTTTATGAAACAGGATTAGATAAGATAGATACGAATAAGACTAATGAAGACACAATCAAACGATATGTATCATGTATCACTCATTATTCTCCTTCTGTCCAAGATTACAATACAGCCGTTCTATTTTTTCACCTTGTTGGTCCATTCATTGTCAATCTTTTCTCTGCACTATTTATTATCTTTGGAGGTGCTCATCAACGATCAATGGCACGAACTAACCAAAGTTTTAAAGAACATGTTCAACTACAATTCAGTGAACATAAACAATTAATCATTAGTCCAATAGTTTTACTCGTTTTATCAATACCTCGTCTCATTATTTCATTACTTCCTGGTTGTGTGAAAACATCTGATAACTTGTGGTTGTATCTTGGAGCATATTTCATTTCGTTTACTCCTTCGATGCTAATTTTTCTTATCTTTGTCTTTCCATCGGAATTGTATATGAAATCGTTTAAACAATCTATGATTCGTATTCGAAGACGTACTCCTCTTTGATCGGTCCGTTCAGTTTCAATGAAATGACTATTATACTAAATATAAAAGACATTATTTATTTGTTTGCTTCTCATAATGAATCGCTCGATGCACTGTTGCATTTGAAAATCATGTTTGAAAAAGACATTCAATATTTACTTATAGTTCGCTGTAGATAATCATTAATTGAAGTAACAACATGTTGAATAATTATGGATGGTGCAAACACAGAAAACGATTGTTATTCTGTTTTACTACAGAATGCAATAGTTGATGTGTCTGTTAGGCTAAGTGATAAAGATTAGAAGAAACGATGTCAACTTTACACAAACTATATTATTTGCAGCATGACTTACATTTCTTCTTGCCTGTCTGTCTGCCTGTTGTGTGCTTTTCATATTGTTTTATTTTCTGTAATAAAATTGAGCAGAAGTGCTGAAATATACTAAAAGAAACAATTGGGTATCTGCTCTATGAAACTTCAAATGAGTCTCTCGAACTGACATTGAAGAAATGTTTTGGTCTTTTAAAATATTTTATCCGATGACATAACATCTTGAGGGTGTCGGCGAAGGTGAGGATGTTTTGTTTATTCACTCGCACATCACTATTATACCTTCATAGCTTGTACTTTTTTCTGATTGACTCCATTTGACAAACATTTCGTATCATTCATTCTAAGCCAAGGATTTAAACGCTGTATAATTCTTTTTTTTCAGAAAAGAGAATAACAAAAAGATTATAATGGCTTAATTAAGTTATATCTGAATTGCAATGTCAAATTTTACTTTAGTTAGCTACACACGCCCATTGTTCTTATTCGGTGTATGAATATCCCAGTGATGATTAACAAGTAAATAGAAGAGTTCTGGCGAATAAAATCCTCTGACATTCCATGTTTTTTTTTATTTTTAAACGAGATTCTGTGAAACATTTTGGTGCATCTAACAATTTACATCTGAATGTATCATATAATTCGATGTGCCACTAAACTAACTATTGTTTCTCCGTTTTTACACCTAAGAAATAGGATGTGCGTGGGTGTGGGTGTGAATGAGGTAGCATACATATACCTAGAAGCGGCATCAGGATTTTTACTTTGGCGAGGCTTAGCCCTCTAAATCTTGAATTTATTTCAAAAATTCAGAGGATTGAGCCCCTATCACCCCTAGTTGGCGCCGCCATTACATCTATCCCTCAGCATAGTTTCAGTATTATACGATGATTTATAAGTAATCATTTCTGGGTATAATTAACTCTAGTAAAATTATTCAATTTTATTACAAATAAAAAAAAGAAATAAAATGATTCGATCGCAAGCGACGTACCGTGGTATTTTCTATGGTTCTTATTATGTATGAAAGAACGAGTTGTTGTGCAAGAATATTTTTGTTGCTATTTGTAGGGTGTG